GTGCTAAAGGGGAGAGCCCGCAAGAGCTGGCACAGGACTTGGAAAGCATAGCACATAAGGCCTATCCTAAAGAAAATAATGCCTTCATCTTGAAAACGGTAACACGAAATCTGTCTCGGCAATTTCATAGAAGGACTGAATTCAACAGAATCTGACAAGCTTCATCAGCGGACACTCTCTGACTATTGTTTCTTTTTCTCATTTCGTATAACTCAATTAACTTTTCCGCACACTCCTTGGGCATTTCATCTTTCGTATTTCCTGAATAGCATGCCCACCATTCTGACAATGCTTCTGGACAAAGTGTAATAGTTTCACCCCTACACTGCTTATATCCACTTCAGGACGATTACAGTAGACCAGTGACAGTGCCTGGCTAATAGCTAGTGATTTAGCTTGTAGCTAGCTTATACATTCAACTCAGAATTTGCGCGTCGATCAGGTGTAACTAATGGTGCTTTGGGGAATATAAATGACAACCTCGTTTCAATATTAATTTATTTTACTCCACACGCATTAAGCTTGGACGCTACAACAACTTCTGCCTTGGATATATTGAACAAGCAAATGATTTTAGTAGCATTAAACTCCCATTGAACTCACGTGTGATTCGGCTTCCGGTTGTTTGTTTGAACTTTTTCACTAAAGTTGGACCATTCAACAGATTGGCACCAAGTACTTTTCCGGTAGTGCCTGCGATCCCATCTCTAAATGTTAAGGCCTTGTATATGTCCATTTCCGTAGTTATGGCGTTTCCGTTTTCCACAAATGAGTTGAACGCCAAATTCAAATATGAAAAGTGGGTATCCAGTCTCCTTATACCAGTTTGAGCCTCGGTATAAATCCACTTTACGACATGAAGAATGTGCCCATCAATGGAAGACTGCATTCCAACATTGAGATGGTATATATGGGATCAGATCAGATCCTGTGAGGCAAAGCACGTAGCATTCTCACTTTGAAGTATCATTCTGCGCATATGAAAATTTGTTCGAATGTCCTGTAGCATCTCTTTCAGTACAACCGCAATTTGTACATTATCTTGTCCTGTGTATCCTTCCACCATATAATCAACGAATTCGTACTGAAATCCAAGAACATCTTCATCGTCAAACACCCATCTGACCCTCATTGAACCAAGCAATGACATGCCCTTTTACCAAAGTACTCCACCTGTCCTTCCCTGTACTTCATGGGTAACACCTTCTGCTCATGATCAAGCACAATAAGCACCATTGATGAATCAATCTTCATTTCTTCTTTAAGTTTGTTGATTGCATCAAATTTAACTTTTGCTCTAAGCCTCTGGGCCATGTACCATAATGTCGTATTTTGCAGAATCGGGATGGATGCTAACATTAATTCTTCTTCTTTTGTTGTATCAAGATCATCCACTAGTAATGAAGCAGCCTGCGCCAAGATTGGCCTAACCGAAGTGTCGAAGAAATTGACACATTTGCTACATTTAATGCAATAGCTGTGGTTGTGAACATGATCACATCGTCCACCTAGTGCAAACGTACAGCAATGAGTCTGATCGTCAGACAGTAAACTCAAATGCTTGTGTGTGTGTGTGTGTGTGTGTGTGTGTACTCAAATGTACAAGAAATAACTATTTATTTCTTCCATCTCTAGTAAGTATTTTCTCGACGTCTTGCTTAGAATATCTATTTGCCGCGATTTCTTCATGATACTTCATGTCGCTTAATTTTGCCATCATGGACTCGAATACTGGATTGACATATCTTAATCGAATATATCAAGTTGATCAACCAGCTTTTGTTTCGCCTCTTTTTGCCAGCAGCTTAACGATATCGCGAAATGTATGCACCCTAACCTGTTCATCGCTATCAAAGGGGTTCTTATACGCTTTGTGAAGGTCTTCGATACTCCGTCCGCCACGTTTATAAGCCAGCATATCTGAAAATATGTGGTTTTCAATTCTTACATTACTTGTTTGACCAGGCTTTACTTGAAGGCTTCATTGAATGAACGTAATTGCTGTAGCAATACTCCGGCTGTCCACACAGAAAGTATAATTATGTTTTGGCAGATCTGTTCCACACTCCAGAGTAGCAAAGGTCATTCTCAGGGATGAAAATTTCACTTTTCCCATTGAGTGTTTTTGAATGGATATAAGCTATTTTTGTTGGTCTGGTAGGCTACTGAATTTGTTGGCGAGCATCCTTTCCCGTGTACGTCGTTCGAGTGAATTTGCCAAAATGCTTTGACCAGACACGTAAATGTTTCTGCACTCAACAAGTGATAGCTTGCACATGCTTTTGGAAAGGAGTTCAGTCGTATTTTTTCATTAAACTGCAGTTTGTCGATAAAATATGTCTTCAATTCAAATGGATCGGTCGGATACAAAAGTTGGAATAACTTATCGGTTATATGTGTGAATATCTGAACAACCCTCTGTCTTTGACACTTTGCAATGCGTTAGCTTTATATCCATCTATAGGTAAGCATTCCAAAGCTGTGTGATTGGTAATACCCAAGGCATTGAATATAGTAGTAATGGTTTTAGACGCTTCAGCGTTTCCATATTTTCCAGAATCAATAACATACACCTTGCTTTCTTCTAATCTAATTCGATTTTGACCTCTCAGGGCACTTGTACTTGTCATTACTCTTCTTTCTCCACTTTCAGCATCATTTCTTCGCTTTATTCAAGCATGAATCCAAAGGTAAGCAGCATCTACAAACGTCATAGGTGAAGCAGTCTCTTCTCTTTCTATATTTATGTTCCTGGCAAGGAATTTTACAGATTTCACTTATGAGTATAGTTTTTCAATCAGGAGAAGAAGCTTTTTTGATTTTATTGTTGGATTGTGGTAGCGTAGTCTGGCGCTTCCAATCCGTTTTTCGGCTCTGACGTTTTTTCCTAAATTTTGGTCGGTTTTTCTCGATCAGGGGTCTTAAGAAAATTATTATTCTGAAAATTGCCTATTTGTGCATTAGCCCTAGAGGTGATGACACAGAGT